CATCTGGATGGGATTAGCACTTAGAGAACACTTATCCAAGCAGATCTCATGGCCCTTTCAAAACATTTGTTAAGATACACCTAATATTTGGGGCTTGAAACTTCAAAATATTTCACTAAATTAAATGAATTTAAATCACACAAATTCTTAAAAACCAAGGAAATTATATTAGACAGTTATCAGAAATACATCAAAACATGGGAGAACTAAGATACATGCTGCTAAGTAAAGCTAGGAATGATGAATAAGCAAAAATGAAAATTACATAGTATTTGAACTAAAATAAAACATAACATATCCAAATGTATGGGTTGCAAAGAAGTGAATTCAGGACCCTGAAATTATAAAAGCATTCATGCATTTTAGCTAACATATTTTTCACCTTAGTTTCCACCATGACTTACTAGTAAAACAGTAAAAGCAAATTGTACTCAAAACAAGGGTCTCTTATCCTTAAAACATTGGTCTGTAATGAGCACACATCTAGTTTTGCAGCATTGGAATCACATCAGTCTGGAATAAAAACACACATTAGCAGCTTTACAAGAGAAAAGTCTGAGAGTAGATGAACAGAGTGAGAAACAGCTCAGAAAACTAGATGCACAGGAAAGTCAAAATGAGATTATTGTGTTATGGAATGTTTATACATGAGACTCTTGTGAGCTGTTCCAAAGCCAAAATCACACATTTCAGACAGCTTAGCATTCTTCAGACAGTTGGTGAGGGTGATGGTCACTTGGCAAATTGCTCTGAAGATCACAGATGGCAGCAGATGATTCCATGACACATTAGGGTCCCTGCCCAATGACAAGACTAGGATCTCGCAGTTATGAGTACCACAGAAACCTTTAGTGTTTCACAAATATTGTCTAAGTCATTATTTTAAGTTGACTATGGAAAATATATTTTACACTCTTATTACTAGAGTGCTAATCATGTATTGTGAAACTAAAGGATTCATTTATTAATTTGAAAATATATTTCTTTTTATAACACAATAGTACAAAGTTAGTCCCCTCTAAAACATTATTTAAGCTAAGGAGTGAAAACAGTCTTTATTTCAAGGTACAACAATGTAGGATGAAAGACTGAAACAACAACTGCAAAATGTACAAAATATTTAAAATTATAAAATACACAAATTGTATATTAATGATATAAGAAAGCAATGGAAAAATGAGGACTAGATTATCTAAAATTCTAGAATTAATAGAAACCTTAGTTCTTGAGCTGGCATTCACCTGACTTTTTGTCCTCCTGTCACATTTGCCAAATTTGCATCTGACAACTAGTTCTGACTTGGCACTGGCAGAAAAACGCACCTGGGAAAGAAGAATTCGGCTGAGCATCAATGGTTGTACAGGGCAGCTTCTTTCACATAGCCAGTGTTCTTCTTTGGACATTTGCTGACGTCTGAATGAGCAGGAAGGCTGAGGGTGCAAGGACAGACATCTCCCATAGACTAAGGGTGTTACCTCCAACCTCGCAGGCTACACAGACCATCCTTCATACACGTGTGAATTATGGATATTGATCTCCATCCCCACTGCTCCCCTGCTGGCATAGGCACTGCTGGGCCTACTGATTAGCATGACATTACATGTTACATCTCCCAAACTTGATCAGTGGCCTCTACTGGACATCATTTTAGGGAAGAATGAGTCTCAGAAGCTCTACTCAGCTATGTTAGGTTAACTAGAACTGAGTGATATGACCTCAAGTCTCCTTGCACAGGAGTCTCACTAATCTTTCAGTGATTACAGACCTAAAAACCTGCATGATGCACTACTTTTTCTTGAAACTGGCAGTGGCACAGGCTCATACTAGGAAACCAGGCAGTGGTGCTTTTAATTCTGTGGTTCCTCACAAGAAACCCATCTGGCTTCTTTTGTGTTCACGTCATCAGTTGCCATCCCCATCACCATCCACAAGTGCACCAACCATAAGCCAAGGCAGTTTAATTAAATGTTGGCCTTTACTATATTCCCTTCATGCTCCCATTTCTGCAGTCTGCCCTATATTAAATTCTTAGGTTTCAGAAATACAATGTTTACATCATTCTGAATTTTTTCAGTTGCCTATGAGAAAAAGCCTATTCTCTAGTTCTTCCAGCATATGCTTCTTATTCTTAAAACCAACTTTTGGATTTTTAAGAACTTTATTTTTTCTTATCACCAAGTATTAATATAAGCTAATTAAAACTTCAACCATCAGTATGCTTTATCTGCTGCAAATTTACCTAAATAAATGAATAAATAAGTAAATAAATAAATAAATAAAATCTATTGGGCACTCAATTTCCAAGGCATTTACTAATCATCTTCTGCAAACTTATTCCAGTCAAGACTGTTGCAGCTGACAGGGACATAAGCCAGTGGTGCATGAGGTGTAGTTAAGTCCTGAGCTACAAACTATTGCCTGTTCCCCAGCAGTTTTCCCTTACACAAACCCAGGGAAACTTGTGAGTGGCTCCTCAGACAAGCATCACATATGGGCAGCTGGGTCACTCAGCAGGGCAGCTTCTGTTCATGGCTATACTACTATGGGGATGATGGTATATCTTGGAGTTTAGACTCTATTGCTATTCCCAAGCTAGGTGATCCAGGGTATCCTTGAGAATGGCAATGATGTGATATCAGTCCAGTTTCCAGTTGTGAGAACCCCACACAGCATAGCATCATTGTGGGCATGTAAATAACAGGAACTTTCACAGGATGTGGTAATTCAATTTTTAACATTAGAAAAAATTATCTGCATTCATCACCTTTGCACCTCCACTGAGTTAGAAACATACTTTAAGGTGGGCACGTGCATTTGGTAAGTGTTTTAGAAATGAATATAACAAATGAAATTTCTGTAGCCAGAGTAGGTACTATACATCTTGTCCAGCATGGCAGTTTTTAAGTTAGGAAGTAACTGAAATCATTTTAATCAATTCAATTTATATAATATTCATATACCTATGAATGAGTTGCTATATATATATATTCATATATTCATATATATATTCATACACACACACACACACACACACACACACACACACATATATCCTTATTTAGCCATAGGTATGTTTTCAAAAGTATCCATATCCAACTATTATTTATAAGTATAAACGCACCCATGCACATGAAATATGTTATGCACACCTGAAGATGTGCATATTTCATAAGTGAATATCTTCTCTCATTCTCTAGGGTAAATGAAATAAATATCAATTTTTTAATTGATATATGATTTAGCTTTAAATTTTGTCTTAGTATATTTATAAATAAACTACTAAGTATTCATACTTATGCCATCAATTTTAATAAAATGAATCTCTATGGATGGATGTGTAAATACAGTTAGTTTTCAAACAATAATGATTTATATATAAACACTTAAAACTCAGTGTCTCATTGCATTAAATATTTATGTATTCATGTTCATGGATGTTCCTGTTAATTATCATCTTGCTGATTAAGGCAAGACTCAGGTGGGGGGTTGTGCTGGAGTCCAATGAGCTTGTCCCAGACTATAGATTGTATTTATCTGAAGTCAAGGCTGAAGGACTGAGCACTGCCTTTTGCTGGCTGGTTGCAAGAGTAAAAAACCTCCCCAAAGCAAATTAAGCGGTGAATTGAAATCCAGTATTCTTTAAAACAGGTTTGCACACTTTTAGTTAATTTTTTCTCCTTAGAAATTACTAAAGTTTCTAAAAACCTTGATTCCATTTAAATATTTTCTCAAAAGTATTTGGTGGGCAAATAACTATATGTATCACCCTTTACACTATTCTCAATATTTTCAAATGTAATGTTGCATTGATTAGGAAATAATGCTGAGTGTGTTTGACAGATGTAACTGTCGTTTGGAATTTTCTTGAATGATCTCATTGGAAAAAAGTAAATCTCTTTAGCAGAACTATACAGTTTCTAAAACATACTTTCTTAAACCTTCTACACATCACCTGTTACATTGTGAAATAAAATTATCATTCAGTAAATGAATTCTGATGCCTTCTGGATAAATTTGGAATAGCAAAGAACTTTCACACTAAGGGAAAATGCTACATACATGTTTAGCATTTTCTGGTTTTTTGTCAAGGAAGATTTCTCATTTGATTGTCATGTGACTATTATTGATTTCAAACAATGTATTGATTTTCTGTTTTTTCTCTTATAGCAAAGCTTTCTTGCTTTAATACAGATTTGATGGTGATCCTTTAAAAAAATTAAAATGTATTTGGGGGACATCTCTAATTTGTAAAATGGTGAAAATATTGACTATATTGGACTGTCAACTGTCATATTTGCATCAGCATATCACTTCTGAAAATGCACTTTTCCAAAGACTTTTTTCTTTCTGGTTTCCTGTAGAGTGTCAATGACAGGTCCTCCAATAAGATTGAAAGTCAGAAGAGAGGATTCAATATTGGTTGACATCTGAAGGCATAGTGTGGACTGAGGTGAAGGCTGGAGAGTCACCTGGAGAGGTGCTAATAAGCTGAGAGCATCACCCAACACTGGGCTTTCAAGACGAATTTGAAGACCATATAGTTAGACATCTTATACCTTCAAGGCTAGATAAAATCAGGTTTCTGAAAGTCCAGATAATCCCCGATCCTAGTATTTGCTTCTCCAAATGGCATAGCCTAGTTTTGAAATGCTATGATTCAAATTATAATTATTTGCATCAACACCATTTCTCTTGGAAAGCAAAAAGTGGTTTCTCATTTGCACTATGAATTCCCATTAATCCATAATACCCACTCTTCAGGTGTACTGATCTCCTTTCATTATTAAATCAGGAGAGACATTGTTATGTTCATGCTTCTGGCACAGAGGAGGATAAAAGAGAGTCAGAGTGCAGAGGAAACTTCATGGGCCCCACTGCCAAAATCTACCAATGACATTCAAAATATAGCTGAGTCTGAGAAATATTATTAGCAGTTGTAGGCACCAGGAGCAGCAGCTAGGTCAGACCAGGCAAAATGTGCATTTCCTTCCATGGGTAGTTTATGCAATGACTTGTAACACTGCACTACCACTGAACCTCGATAGGACCCCAGATTGCAAGTTAGGTGCCCGATAGATCAGGAGCTTAGGAGGATCCCCTGGTTTCTGCTGATACCAGTGTAAATTATTGCTAAAGCCCTGACTTTCCTGGCAAGTAATGGTGACTCTGTCTCCTAGAGATGCTGAGAGGGAGGTTGGTGACTGGGTCATCTGAATGTCATATCTGGCACCTGAAATTGGAAACAAAAAAAAACCCCATATAATTAATCATGTTATAAGAGGACTTCTCTGAATGCCCATATAGTAATCAGCACACTGACTGAGTCAACTCTATTGTTATCCTTCTTCACCTGGAAACCAGAGCAGCAGGATCCCCAGAAGCTGAGTGGGGGCCCTCATGTCCATGCTGTGACCTGACTGAGACTGAGTCCTGCACTGGGTGAGACCAGCCTATTAATAAATCTTCAGGGCTGTGAGCTATATTCTGGGCACATGCAAATCAGCAGGGGATAGGGCAGGCTTGGGACAGCTGTGGGCCTGGCACATCTCAATAACTCAGGATAGGTATAGTGTCCCCAGTTTCCCAGGTCAGACCAGGGAGCACAGATTTGTTTGCAGAGAATATATTTCTGAGTAAAGGAAATATTGTCAGTAAAGATATTTATTTATTTGTTTGTTTGTTTGTTTGTTTGTTTTTGAGTTGGAGTCTCACTCCATTGCCCAGACTGGAGTGCAGTGGCATGTTCCTGGCCACCACAGCCTCATCCTGCTGGGCTCCAGCGATCCTTCTGCCTCAGCTTTCCAAGTACCCGAAACTACAGATGTGCGCTACCATGCCCGGCTAACTTTTTGATTTATTGTAGAAATGAGGTCTTACTAAGTTGCCAGGTGGGTCTTGAACCTGTGGGCTCAGGCAATCAACTCACCTCAGCCTCCCAAAGCACAGGATTAGAGGCTTTTTTCTAGGATGAGTTCATGAACTCAACTGTCAGATCCTGTAGACATAAATATACACCTACACATACAAATACACAAATATATATGAAGAAATTGGCTTGAGGTGGCAGCAGCAGCAAGAAAAAAAAAAGGAAAGAGAAGGAAAGAAATCAGCTCTCATAACTCTGGAGGCAGACAAAATCTGCAGGGTGGGTCGGCAGCCTGGAAACCCAGGAGGAGTCAATGTCGTAGTCTATCTGAAGGCCATCCACTGCAGAATTCCCTCTTGCTCTTGCTTGGGAGAGCTTAGTCTTTTGTTCTGTTCGATTCTTTAACTAATTGCATGAGGCTCACCTATATTAGGAAGGATGATCTGCTTTACTCAAAACCCACCAATTTAAATGTAAAAGCACCATTACAGAAACATCTGGAAT